TAAATTTAAATTAATAATTTATTTAAATTTATTGGCCACCCAACTCTAGTGGACTCTAGGCAGCATACAAAACTAGAAAAAATATAAAAACAACTATTCTAAATATTCTAAAAGTACAAGATAGAAGAAAGAAGTAGTAAAGAATGAAAAGAGATTATTAAAAAACATTATCTTTAGCTAGGTAAAATACAGCCTACCTTGCATATTTTGATAAGTCCCTATAAAGTGAAAGCTCAAGCCTAACAGGCAAGGAGAGACTGGAATAGGAATGGAAGGAATGACATGTGAAAGATGGCCCCAAGCTTGAACAGGATATATGCCTTCACCCCAAAAGCATGTGGGTCTTGATCAAGAGGCCAGTTAATAGTCAAACATGTGGGCTGCAACCACAAGGGGCAAAAGAAAACAAAGCTTTTACAAATCTCTAAGCCTGAATCAAAATATATCAACAGGAACAGGGAAAATTGACATAAGCAACATCATAAAGAACAAAAGCTCATAATCTTTTATAGGAGAGTAAAAGGTAGAGAATAAGGAACTGATAACCATGAAGGAAAAGAGGAACAGAGGCACCTAACAGAAATGGCAGGGCATTAAGCTGGAAATAAAAGCCTAACGCAAAGCAGAATCATAGAACTGCAATTGAATCATCAGGAGACTGACTGGTATAGGTTCATAAGCACAGGCCTAAGTCAAGACAAGCTAATGAACACAGTCATGCTCATCAGAAAGAAAATCATAAGTTAGGCCCCTAAGCCCAGGATTTCTAATGACAGGAGTAGTAACACACTTTTTAAAATGCAATTAATTTATTTTGAAGTATAAAACAAATGTTAAAAGAGAAACTATTGGCTTACTTGCATGGTAAAATGCGTACAACATCATTTTGCTTATAGCTTTCAATGCAGACAGCGCAGTGATCAAAGTCTGGATCTGTTTCCTAAAATGAATAGAGTGAAAATCCCAGTAAGACCTATCTACAGCAGATACTTGTAGCAAGCAGCACAATGAGCTGAAGGGCTAAAACTATTCCAGGAACGATGTTTATTTTGTTGGTTTATTTATTCGTTAGATGTCTATCCCACCTTTCTTCCAGCAGCTCAAGGGAGCTTATTTTAGAGTCTCTCATTTTTATCCCCATGTCACACTTCGCCAGGTATAGCTATAAACTGTCCAGAAATTCAATCTCACATTCAGTAACAGCAGAAGCTTCACAGGCTTGATATGGCTAGGTTAGATGCTTTACTGCAGATAGGAAAGAAGTCTTATATATGCATAAGATCTGCTTACTGCAGAACACAGGAATCAAGTCCTGTGTACATAAATCAATCCCAAGGTTTAAATTTAAGACCTTTTCCTCCCTCCTTTTTGAGTCTTGAGTATCAGCAACCACCTGTTTCATGTTTACGTATCAGTTCTGTCGTGCCTGAGAAGCCTGCTTCAGTTTTTCCACCCTTAAGAGGTAGGGTGTAATATACAGTCAGGTCCAGAAATATTGGGACATCGACACAATTCTAACATCTTTGGCTCTATACACCACCA